TGCATTGACTAGATGTCAACAAACCACAGGTAGTCAGTCCACTTGTGGTTTGGTGCAGCATCAGTATATCAAAAGATGAATTGTGTTGGGAAAATCCACTATTAAAGAACTTAACAGAGTGCAAAAGTCAGTCCAAAGACCAAGATGGACCTGATCCAAGCACTGATGTTCTCAGTTGCTTGCTGTGTATCTTAGAGCCGGACAGTGACTAAGGATGTGACAGAAGAAGAGTTGATGGCTTTTTGTTGTAGTGCTAGAGAAGAGTATTGAACATACCATGGACTGTCAAGAGAGCAAACAGATCTGTCCTGGAGAAAGTGATGGAGACAAGATGGTGAAACTTTGCCTCACATTCTTTGGGCATGTTGTCAAGAGAGGCTGTTCCTTGGAAAAGAACCTCATATTTGGGAAGGTACAGGGTCAGCATAAGAGAGACCCTTAACAAGATGGATTGACACAGTGACAGTAGCAGTGGGGTCAGGTGTGCCAGAGATGGTGAGATTACTCAGGATAGGATAAGGTTGAGAGTTGTTGTTTATAGGTCACTGAGTTGTAGACCACTTGAATCCACATAACAGCTGCTGCAACAAAAGCATAAACCATTACTGTCTGCTCTAACTCATAGCACACGATGGTATGTATCTAAATGACTAGGACTGAATGAAAAAAGTAGTCTCACACTCTGCCTTTAGAATTATCTTGGTGGCTTGGTAATGACTTTCAGAGTATCTTCGTGAAAATGAATAACATAAGCAGTTTTGTCACTAGTAAGGATAGAAAGGAAGTCAGTGGAGAAATTCCACTTTTTAAAAAATAAGTTTATTTATTTGAAAAGATTGAGTTGGTTTTGGCAGTGTTATAGCTATAGCAGTATATATGAAGAAGTTAAGACACATCTTTCCTTAACCATGCATCTTTTAATCTTCTGCACAATTCCAAGATTTATTGTTAGTTTCCTGGGCAGTGGTACATATTGGGCAAACTTTCTGTAAAGAGCAAAATAGTATTGTAGGCTTCCTGGGCTGCTCAAATGGTCTGTATACCGTTTAATAATTACTACTTTTTATAGTGATCATAAATCTGAGTCAGGCTAGTTTAATTGAAGATGTTAGAAAAAACCTTGTTAAACTATGTATCTTGAAACAGAGTAGCATTATAACTTAATTTGTTGCCAAATATCATTTATTATTTTAAGTCTCATATGGCCTGTTTTCCTAACTTAAAAAGATGTTATGGAATCAGAAAACTTAATTTTGCAATTTTTTTTTAAATTTTTCAATTTTATTTGTACAGTTGTGTGCTTGGCACAGAGTTTGGGCCTGGAATAAAACCTCAAATTATATTCTTTATTTTTTTGAAAGAAAATTCCTGCTAGAAATTTATGTTAATATATGCAAAAGGGGACAAGGGGAACATGCAATATATGTGTGTGTGTGTGTGTGTGTGTGTGTGTACTGTAAGATTGGATCTGACTGGTACAAAAGGAGGTTTCCCCTCCTTCTCCAACAGAGCATCTAGTGGATTCGAACTGCATACATCTGGGATTGTAGTGCGGCTTTTTGCCACTAGGCCATCAGAGCTTCCTACATGGGAATACTTTAGTATGAGGAGAAATTATGTAGCGAGTACCACGCCATATAAAGAAGACTTAAAAATGGATAAGGTGCTGGATGTGATCAAGTCTAATGAGATCAGGAGTCAATAAAAGCAGTGCCCAACAAAACAAAGAAATAAAAGAGTTAAGGCAATGTCCCTAACCTTTAGAGTGGTAAGGCTGCCCCCTGTTTGGATTGTCAACATATGTGTTTTGTTTTTTTGTTTCAACATATGTGTTTTTTTAAAATTTTATTTTATTATTATTTTTGTGTGTCTGTGTACCGTCAAATCAGATCTGACTGGTACAGGAGGAGATTGTCCCTCCTTTCCCGGCAGAGCATCTGGTGGATTCGAACCATGGGCCTCTGGGATTGCAGTGCAGCTTCTTGCCACTAGGCCACCAGAGCTCCCCTAACATATGTGTTTTAAAGACTACTTTGATTAGAAAAGTATAGGGGTTCACTTGGTGTAAAGGAAATGATATTTAGTTTCTCAAAGCAAAAGATTGAAGGAAGAGTTGATAAGGAAAAACTATTTCTTGATGAAAACAAGTACATAGACATTAAAAAAAAGACTGTGGAAGATTAAGCAAAAACCTGGGAGTCTGAAATAATGTGGAGAATTACAGACTCTAGATAGTTCACATAGGGTTGTGTCATGACATGGAACTGAGGAGATAAGCAGAGATTATAAATACTCTTGATTGTGAGAGTTTATATGCTGTTGAAGCAGTTGCAGCTTTATCTTATAGGCACAGAAGCCGTTGAGACAGTAGGAAGAAAGAGCATCTAAGGCAGCTAAGCTAATTTTTAAGTCCCTGCTGAGTCTCTCTGTGGTACAACTGGTTAGACCTTCAACTACTAAACAGAATTTAGCCATTGGGATCCACCCAGAGGCCTTGGGAGGAAGACCTGGTTGGCAGCTTCAGAAAGATTTCCTGACTTGGAATCAAGTGGATGGCAGCTGGTTTGGTTATGTGTCCAGGCTCTGTACTTGAACTTTATGTCACTGCATTTAAAGTGGACATGGGCATGGCTGAGGCAGAAAATACAAAGTTATGTTGCCTACATGTGCCAGGTTGTTAATGAGTCTTCCCTCAGTTTTCTTTGATCCTTGGTAACCACCAAAGAATGTTTACGTGTGTAAAACTTTTCTTGACTTTTTATAATAGTAATCTCATACAACATTTACTATTTTGTTTCATTCAGCATGATGTCCTCATATTGAGTCACTTTATGTGGTGTTTTGTGGATACATAATACTCTTTAACGTGATAATAGTGTTCCATTATATGTATTGGTACCATAATTTTTTTCTTTATCTCTTAAATACCACTTAGGTTGTTTCCAGTTTCTTTAGCTACTGTAGATAGTGCTGTGATGAAATTGGATATGCATATATCTGTTTGTGTTATAGCTTTTATTTCTTTTAGATATATTCCTAATAGTGGGATTGCTGAATCATGGTATTTCTGTGTCTGATTTTTTTCCCCCCTCACTGTTTTGAACTGCTATTATCCTTACTGGTGAAAAAGAGTATTTACTATGTTTCAGTTGTAACAAGATTTTTTCCATTTTAACACTTAAGACCTATATTGCAGTCTCAAAAGTACCAGATAGAGTTCATATTAGAATAAAAGAGAATAAAAGCTAATTTACTTCTAAACTGAAAACACCCAAGAGGAAGCATTTTGTACTACTATAGAAGTTTACTGAACAAAAACTTATTATGACTAATGTACAAAGCCTGATTCTTATATCGTAGTACAGGTCCTTAACGGAAGGGAAATGTGGAAGCAACTCATTTTTCTGTTTCTTGTTAGGTGCCATCGAGTTGAATGAACCCTGTGAATAAAAGATCTGAACCCTATCCTGTCCTGCACCATCCTCACACTTCCTGGACCCAGGAGCCCATTGCAGCAGTCACTCTGTCAGTCTACCTGGTCAAGGGTCTTTCTGTCCTTCAGTGACCCTCCTCTCTTCCTAGCATCATGTCCTTCTTAAGAAATAGCCCCTCCCAGCAACATGCCCAAAGTATGTGAGGCTTTATAGGGCACTCTGGCTGCACCCTCTTGAAAACATACTTGTTAGTTCATTTGGCAATCAA